CCCTCCTCCACCTCCCCCCCCCCCGTCTCCTCTTCCTCTTCTTCTTCTTCTTCTTCTTCTTCTTCTTCTTCTTCTTCTTCTTCCTCTTCCTCTTCTTCTTCTTCTTTTTTTTTTAATGTGTGGAAAGAACAGGGAAAGGGGGGAAAATCCGGGAGAAAGCATAATTAAGTTTCAGAGAGCCTGGATGTCCCAGATGAGAAAGAAAAAATCTGACCTGGTTTAAGGTGGAAAAAAATATATTTCACTACTTCTCCGGAGGAGGAGGGTGCGACTTCAGGCCGTTTTTTTTAATGTGTGGAAAGAACAGGGAAAGGGGGGAAAATCCGGGAGAAAGCATAATTAAGTTTCAGAGAGCCTGGATGTCCCAGATGAGAAAGAAAAAATCTGACCTGGTTTAAGGTGGAAAAAAATATATTTCACTACTTCTCCGGAGGAGGAGGGTGCGACTTCAGGCCGGCTGAAGCAGGAGGAGGTTGCGAGGGGAGAGTGGTACTACCTCCACTGGGAGTTCCTTCTGGATAATCCCACCGTGGAGCAAGGAGGCAGCGTTTTTTTGGAGGCTTGGGTTCCGGCGTGTTTCCTGGTGGGAGCGTAGATCTCCCGGAGTCACAAGGTTGGTCCCCCATAAGTATAATAGGACCGGGGTATCAGTTTTCTCCGGTGGGCCCAGGCAAGGCCGAGAGATCTGAGATGGCGGATCCCCTCCAGGCACAGAGCCGGCTTCCTCCTGATTTCACTGTTACCGTATTTCCTGTATCCTGAGACGTAGATCCCCTCTCCGCCTACACAGCGCTTCACTCCCCGTCCCATTTTAACATTTCCCCAAGGATGGGGTGTAAAAACAAAACAAAGCAAAGCAAAGAAAGAGCGTGTAGATTTAACATAATGCTTTTCCATAGGACCCCTTCCCTCCAGTATAATAGAATGTATGGAGAGTTTTATAAAATCTAAGCAAGAAATTCCAGTTTGCCTCTAACTTGCCAACTCTGCCTGTCCTTAATGGATATGAGTGCAGGAGGGTGGGGGGAGGGTTTCCTGTAACCAAAACAATTAAGCGCTCTACACTGCAGTCGAATGTATATTTCACAAAGCCGTGAAACCAAGTACAGCCATCTAAAAAGCTGTATACAAACATATTGACTGACTGAAGTTTTACTAGCAAACTGGTTGTAGAAACTGAATGCAGAAAATAAATTCACCATGTCATAGAACCCAAGATCGCTTTCCTTTATATTAAAAAATGTAATATTGAAAACTTATTATATTTTTTCACACTTCAACATCCAAGAACTCTCCTGAAACCAAACAAGTGATGGCACACCCATCATTTCATTGGCGACATTTTTTTAATCTTTCTTAGAGCTATGGAAAATAGTAACTCATCTTACTATTGTAGTATGTTATATTCTATGTTATGTGGTAAACAACCAGAAGAAGTAAACCTAAGGTGCCATTGAGAAGAAAAGGCTTTTTAATTTCTTTGATCTTCACCTTAATACCTATGCCACTTTGTCTGCTCACAGACTAAACCACATTTTTCCAGCACCCTTCTCACTGTTTTCTAATGAAAAAAGTTCAATCCATAATGTCAAGAGAACTAACGTTTAATAAGTTATACTGTTTACAAGTCCTGTAATATTTAATTAAATTCTTGGAATTTTGGTTTCTAGAGTATAATAGTTTTTTCTATGCAAAAATTCTATTACATAATCCATTTAAATTACTTACTGCTATAGCTACTACTTATCTGCAAGATCACTGCCTTCCTCAAAGCATCAAAGCACCCAGCATAGCTTTTACATAAATTAAACACCAGTGGATATTTGGTAAATATCAATAGTTTTGTATCAGTTGCTACTAATAAAAACAGGAAATTCAAGTGTAGTAGTACCTTAATTTTTTAAAAGTAAGGTGTGCTGAGAGAATGCTTTAGAATTAAAACATTTGTGCCTAAATATAATATACAAATCAACATCATCAAAGTAATATTTGAAGTCACGGGTGTGAATGATATCCCAAGAGAAAATTCAGGAAAAAGAGGCTTGACTAAAAATGGCATTTGGGTAGGTAATGGCAGGTAGAAGAAAAGACTGTAGCAAAGGTTGAGAAAGAGAGAACAAAGACAAAAAACTCTGGCCTAGAGTTTCAGAAACTTAATGCTATTGACATTTGAAGATAGGTCATTCTTTGTGATGATGGCTGTCAGTAGGCTGTTTAGCAGTATCCTAAGCCAGGATTTTGGCACTTCCTACCCCTCTGGTTATGATAACCAAAACCACTCTAAACATTGCCAGTGTCTTCAAGATAGACAAAGTACCTCATTGAGAAAAATTGATATATCTCATATCCTCTGAATTTGCTCCTTTTCCTTGTTACCTTCATCTCAATGAGTGTTATACCTTCCACTGAGTTATACAAGCGAAACTTTGAAGCCTGTTTTTTTTTTCAGTTTCTTGAGACAGGGTCTCCCTGTAGCCAGCTGGCCTGGAACTTGCTATGTAGACCAGGCTGACCTTAATCTCACAGAGATCCGCTTGCCTCTGTCTCCCCAGTGTTGGGATTAAAAGCGTGAGCCACCACTCCAAGCTTTACTTATGTTTTTTGAAATAGAAGAATACATTATTATTTCTCAAAATAAATTAACATTTTTCATATTCTTTTTATAGGACTTTCTATTATAAATATACATTCAGAGTAAAACTGAAATTAGGAGCCTGGAGAGAAAGCTCAGCAGCCAAGAGCATTGGCTGCTCTTGCAGAAGACCCGGGTTTGAATTCTAGCCACCCACATGGCAGCTAACAAAAACTGTTTCTCAGTTCCAAGAGATTGGACCTCCTCCCCTGGCCTCTGTGGGCACTGCATGACATGGGTGTACTTACATACATGCAGTTATAACACCCATACACATAAAATAAATAATTTTTTAAGCGAAATTTTTTCTCTACCAACAGTTTTTAGAAAGTTTAAATTCAGGCAGGTTTAATTTGTATTAAACACTAACTTGAGGTTACAACAGTCTCAATTTACAGCTACTGCTATTACCCTGAACTATTTATACTACAACTAAATTTGTGTTGCTTTCCTTGTTTCTGTGTTTGTTTGAGACACAGTCTCTTGAGTCCCAAGCTGACTCAGAGGCTGATCCTCCTGCCTCCACCTCCAAGTGCTGGGAATACAGGCATTTGCCACCACTCCTGGTTTATGTATTGCCTGGGATCAAAACTAGGGCTATGTGCATACTAGGCAAGCATGCTACCAACTGAACTAAATCCCCAGCCCATTTCTTTGTTTTTAACTGTGTCAAAATGCACATGGCATAACTTTTATCATCTTGTCATTTTTCAATATATAGGTCAGTAGTGTTAAATATATTCACTCCATTCTACAATCACTCTCCCAAACTTTTTCATTCTTGTTAAACACAAGTCCCCATTTTTCCCTTCCCCTAGCACATGAGAACCACAATTATACTCACAACTGTTTTTTATATTTGTTATTAAGGAACAACAAGGAGAGCTAAGGCCCTTTTTCTCCAAGCTTTCAAAATTATATGCCACCCTATTCTCAAATTAAGCTTTTGCCAGCTTCACAGTACCAGCTCATGAATCACAGAACCAGAAGAGGGCACTATTCAGTTGAAGGACTGTTAGGCCAGATTTAAAAAAA